AATTAACAATGTTACATAGTTGAACAAAAAAATTATTAGATAATTTTTCATAATTTATTTATCTATTTATTGTTGTTATGCAAATAGTTTGCCGCTTCAAAACAAGAATTGACCTGACCAGGTTGAGGGGCAGTGCCCCTCCTAGGGGTTCGGGGGCAACGCCCCCGTATGTGTTGAAGAGTTGCGTTTGTTGGAAGTTAACAGTTTTTCTCCAACAGACATACACATTCATTCTAACGGACATTTTTCTCCTTATATATTGAGTATGTTGCCCATTTGCAGATACAAAATAGATATTCATTCTACTTCTTCTTTCGTTCCCTTGGCATCATCAGTCTCTCTTGATTTGATAAAACTGTCACAGTGTGAATCAAAGACCTCCATTGTATCCTGAAAGAGATTTTCATTTAAACCTCATTGTGACAACATCTCTTAAAAGATATCAATTTACGTGCGTTGGAGTTTATTTAAATTCTCATATTCCCTATAATTTTCTTAGATTTCTACAAAAATGATATTACATGAACGAAAAAACACATAGTAGTGGAGAAAATCTGAATAGTTTAAAGAAGTTTTCCACCATTTTAATGAATGAATGAAGTCTTTATCTACTATTCTCTTTGCATGTAAAATACAATAGACAAATGACGTTGCGTGGGGAGAAGCATCCGCGTGAAGTGGGATTGGATCTCTGTGCACCGTGAAGACACTGCGCTGAGAGGTCTCTGCGCATGCAGTGGAAATCCATGTCTCTGTGCAGCACGGAGAGGTACGCGTAGAGGACGGGTCCTCTCCGCGCACCGCGGAGAGANAATCTTATTTTTATTATACATGAATTTATTCAAAAAATTAAAGATGGAATAGTGTTCATGAATTTCTTTTTATTACTTTGTTTCCGAATGGAGAACATGTGGAAGTGAACAATAAGAACTTCCTTTTATTATGACATCATCTTTTGATTGGAATCATAACTTTTTGTATATAAATTTATTCTTCCAAAGAATTGGCTCAAACAAACCCTTAATATCACACTGACCAACCGTTTCAATATTTTATGCTACAGGACCGATGTCTCAAGTGAAACTAACTAAGAAATTAATGAAATTCTCAAACCTGATCACTGACGATGGTTATAGATGGCAGTGCATGCCAAAGAGTAGGCAACTCGTTATCTTCTCTATTATCTATTATCTCCACGTACAGTGCAAGTTCTCTGCAATCTGTTTATCAAAAATATCAAACTTTCCATTATTGTTCCTCACGATCTTCCTATGCTTGCGGTGGGGAATTCGAAAACTGCAAAATATACGATTTAGTATTGAATTGTAACATCCGTTAACCTGCTAGCGAATATGAAATTGATGTTGTCGGTCTGACGCAGAGAGCTTGTGAAAGAAGTTGTCATTTCCTCCTTTTTTTTCTCTTCCAAGAAGCAAGTAGAGATTCAAAATCAAAAATTTTAGGTATGGGTAAGAGGAATTCCATATTACCCTTAAAACTTGGATGAATAGTGTAGAATGAATATTGATAAAATGGGATAAAAGAAGTTTCACAAATGAACAGAAAACGGTGGGTTGCCTCTTTTAAGATAGTAGAGATATATAGCTTATCAAAAAAAGCTTATCCAAGAAGGAAAGCATACAACTCATATCTCGTTGCTATTGATATTGTTTACACTAAGGATATTACTAGATTTAATTACTAAAGTTTTCTTATTCCCTAAATGAAATCCAGTAGATTTCATAATTAAAGTTTCCATATCACCTAAGTGCATCTTGTAAATTTTATAGTCATTTAAATAAAAATCTTGTAGATTTAATTAATAAATATTAGTTAGGGCATATTTGGCCAAGCTTATAATATCTTCCTAAAAATAGAAATAAATAAATAATAATAAGTTCAAAACTGTTGTGAAAAGAGAAAAATAGAAGAAAGAATAAAAATCAGTAGAATTATGTGTATTGTAATGAGAATCAAAGTCCTATATTTATAGGGAAAGATTAAGGATACATATGATAATAACTTCTAGAGCTGCAAGGGAACAATTATATTCACTAATAATCTACTATTTACAACATTCCCTCTTAAATGACATATTACAAAATGTGTCTCGTTAAAACCTTATTTGATAAAAACTCAATGGGACAAAAAATCAAATGAAGGAAAAAGAGTACAGTTATTTTTGAGTATTAAAGATAAATATTACCTCATTAAAACTTTGCTAGCAAAATCCAGTGAGATAAAATCTACGCGAAGGAAAAAGAATACAGCTACTCCCCCTGATGTTGATCACTAAAATTTTTTGAGTTGACGCTTTCCAATCTTGTGAAACAATTTCTTGAATGTAGATGTTGACATTGCTTTTGTAAATAATTCAGCCATATTGTCACTTAAACGAATTTTTTAAATATTGATATAGCCATTTTTCTGAAACTCGTGTGTATGAGAGAATTTTGGAGAAATATGCTTCATCAT